TCCTCATTCGAGGACGAATGATCCTAAGCGGGGGAGAATGTAAGGTCCTGGAAAACTTCCCTATGTACATTAAGGTTTTGTGGTGTCAAGGTAGGCTAATACGTTGTATTTTCAGAGTTTTGGGTTGAACAATGCGTTGGGGAGTAAAATTTTTTCATCACAGCTAGACCAGACTTTAAGCTGGTGAGGCCTTAATAATCTCTTATATGGTCGGATAGTGGAAAAAAATTGTTTGTGTCAGAGTTTAAAGCATATTCATATCTTATAATAGTATCTTGAGAGAAACTGGCATATAAAAGGGTGATTGACAGGAATTGTCCTACAAGGGGTTGATCTTTAAATATTACTTCTTTTCAAAAGTGCTCAGAAAATGGCTTCGGCCACATATATTTATTGCTTGTGAGGGGTTTCTCTACTATATCAGTAGATTTTATGCTAAATTTATTCTATTTATATTGTTAATCATTCACAAATTTTACCGGGTTGGCATGATTTTTGTGATTGTTCAATTGTTTACCAAACTCTACCATATTGGGATGACTTTGTGTTAACTATATTCGATCTATCTGTTAGATTGTTCATAAATTCTACCCAATTCAGTTGACATAATTTTGTGCACGTTCAATTGTTCACCAAACTCTACCAGATTGGCATGACTTTGTGTCATCTACAATTTACCTATCTGTTAAATTATTTTTCAAAGTCAACTCGATTAGTATAATTTTTCTGTGTTATTCAATAAAGTATTCTTCAAAATAGATCCAACCACCTCAAATTTGCTCCAAATAAACTCAAATTTGAAATGAACTCTCCAAATACCAACGCAAACAATCTTCATCACCAATTTAGTCAAATAATACCACATTAATAAGAACCACTTTGCCTTCTCCAATACTTTCTAAGAAACAACAATGAAATTTTGATATTTTTAAAGCAAATCACTAAATCAGTATTTAAATTAAAATTTTAAGTGCAAATTATCAACATTCAAATAATTTTAAAAATTTTGATTATTAAATTTTAGTTTCTACCATCAATAAAAATTTAAATCTTCCAATATTGAAAAGCTATGGTGTTCTTGGTGAAGAGAAAGACTATTTTTGTAACAAAGTTAAGAATTGAAGAATTTATCCAAATAGTTGTCCACCTAATCTCTTAAACTAAAAATAGTCGGCGATATATAATATATGTATTTATGTATAATATGTGTATAACTGTATTTAATTAATTTATAATCTATGTATACCGGCTAAAAAGAGTAAATTGTGAATTTGGAAGCGGTGCAATTTTGTGGACACAAAACGGTTAAAATATCATGGTATAGCCAGTTTTCACACTGGTCAATGAAAAATAGCCAGCGTTTATCAAGTCAATGAAAAATAACCACTATTTTGCTGCAACAGGGACCGGTCCAGTATAATATACGGGAGTTCTGGTGCATTTGTGTACGAACTCCAGCATATTATGCTGGACCGGTATACTTTGCTAACTCCTAAAATTTGCGGGAGACTGGAGCACCAGTGCTCCAAACTCCAGTATATTATACTGGACAATTATACTTGCTGGAACTCCCGTAAAATTTGCGGGAGTTCCAGCATAATTATGCTTGAACTCCCGTAAAATTTGCGGGAGTTCCAGCATAGTTATCCTGGAACTCCCGTAAAATTTACGGGAGTTCAAGCATACTTATGCTGGAACTCCCGTAAAATTTGCGGGCGTATTTTTCCGGATTTTGAACAGTGTTTTCGCTCAGATTTAAAGTGGCTAAATTTCGATGACTTTTGAAACTTGGCTATTTTTCAACGACCAGTGGTAAATCTGGCTATTTTCGAATTTCTCCCCACAAGACGTGAACCAAACTTCCTTCTCCAGAGTCCTCGTCGCTGGGCACTGTTTCATCTAACCCAATTTCATTGTAAGGGCCTTGGCCCAGTAATTCGCAAAACCAAATTCTTTTGCTTCTTATTCCTTTTCGGTTCTTTTCCAGTTTCCATTATCTCATTATACAGGTTCGACCGTTCGAGACTTGAGGATGTAAGGTTCTTTTTTATTTCAGAACGAGCAGATTTTCTTTTTCTGGTACATTAAAATTACGTTAATTTGACCACCAAAGTTTCAACACGACAAAGTAATAAAATGGTAAAAGACTAGTGAGCACCATTGAATTAAGCTGAACAATAATATCATTAAACCCTGCGATTAGCAGGTGATTCAGGTAAAATGCGACAAAATTGAGTACGGAAATATCATAATTCTTTTGGTTATCAATTTTAATAATCTTCAACAAATAATTTATTCATTACTGTAGTATTTTTTTTTTTTTTTTTTTTTTTTTTTTTTTTTTTTTTGTCTCACGTATATGTATGGATTATAATATAGAATTGTTATGTACTCCTTATTAATCATAGTGCATGAATTCGATTAATGGACAAGTTTTACAAGGATTATATATATATGATGCAAAGATTAATACGGTCTCTAATAATCACTGAATTATTATATTTACTATTAAGATGTTTGGTTAATTGCATTAATATATAAATACACATTGGAGATATTTATTGTTCCAATATTAGTGACCTTCGCCTACACTTAATCACTTTATTCAATTTGTTTTTCGCTTTATTTTCATATCTAGTTAATAACATTTCGAAAAAAAATTGAGTTATCTTAATGTTTATGGATAAATAATAAATCGTGCTGTCCTATTTCCATTTTGTTCGGTACTTTTTTTTTTTTTTTTGGAGGGGGAGGACTTAATAGTTACTAATACCAAAAGGCTTTTCACTTTGTTGACTCATAAATGCTCACTGAGTTCAACATATGGGAAGCCTAAAAAGGAATCACAATATTCAAAGATGTTTGTCGTTCGAAACATCCAAAGCCTAAATGCATTCTTTGCTTCATTTCAAGAATGTTTGCTTCACTTAATAGCCTCCCTTCTCCAACAAGACATGTCCTATATTGATAACGTAACCACTTCCTTTTCTTTCTGTTTTTCTTTTTGTTGATAAAAGCAAAAAATATTTCTCAAACATCGAAACCCTTTTGGTTACTAATCATTATTATCTTCAATTTCATGTTTTGTGTTTGCTTCTTTAACATACCAACTTGTTTGCCTCAGGCACACAGCTATAGCCTGTTGACTCAAACCTCTTAGTTCCAACAATATACGTAGCACTTCTAAGTTTTTTTTTTTGCCTAATATTTCTTAGAAATTAAGAAAGAAAATACTACTCCCTCCGGTCCATAATAAGTGACCAATTTGCTTTTGGTATACTCGTTAAGAAAATACTAAATTTTAGACGAAAATAGTTATTGTGACTAAACTACCATTCATTAAATGTTGCACCATAGTTATAATAGCACTTACTTCTCTTCTCAAATGTGAGGAGTAAATGACTTTTAAGGGATACGTACATAAGGGTAATTTTGGAAAAACAAATTGAATTTTGTCTTGATTATATAAATGAACACTTATTTTGGACCAAAATTAAAAAGCAAATTGATCACTTATTGTGAACCGGAGGGAGTAAGTGTTTCTATATACCGAAACCTCTGGAGTGAGATAGTTTCATTTTTTCTTGAGACAGAAATTATTGAACAAGCAAGACTATGTCAATGTATTTTAGTATTAATAGTTAAATTAATTATGCTCCAAAACCAGTTTAGGAAGATCAATTGTTGATGCCTACACTACACAGATTAAGTAAAAAGGATATCGTCTTTATACCAGTGTATAGTGAGTTTACTTTCTCAAATTCTTGAAAGGAAAAATGGATCGAGTAAAGAGCCAAAGAGGTATGGAGGTGTATACAATTACAATGAAACTTTCCATGCACATAGAAACTGTAACGCATGTATACAAATAACAACGAGGGCATTAATTGTGTTAGCGAGCCCCACAAATGTGCTTGTAACAAGCCGCATTAGTCGCTGGGAGATTCTGTATTGGAAAAAGTCTTGGCTCGATACTCTCTGTAAATATTCTTCAGAAACATCCATTTAATAAATTAATGAACTTCTCTGGCTCCAATATTAGACAAAGACAAGGACAAAAAGACAAAAATCCTATAAGTCGATAACTGTTTTTTCCCCTCTTTTTCTTCAGCTGTTTGTTACTCCTCTATATTGGTAGGGGTCGAACAGTCAAAGAAAAGCTTCATGAAAACTTGAGAAATTCACTTTTCTTATTTATTTATTTCTCTCGAAATGTACGCTTGAATAGTATGGAGTGTTTGTTAGGTTTGTCTGAACAAAGTCCCACATGAAAAGTAGAAAAGAAAAAGAAGCTACTTATAAAGAGTTGGATATTTTAATAGTGTGAGGCCAAAGCGGTCGATATCACACCATGTTAAGAGTACCGCAACGGTATCAGAGCCAATGGTTTGGCGGGATTATGGTGGCGGAGTGTGGCGTGGGGGCCCGGCTTACACAACCTTTGGGCTTCGGGACCGTAAATACTCAATCTCATGTGGGTGACATACAATTAATCTCCAAATTAACCTATGAATTGTTGGGTATGTGTGTGAACAAAGTCTCACATGAAAAGTAGAAAAGAAAAAGAAGCTATTTATAAAGAGTTGAATAATCTTAATGGTGTGAGGTCTTTGGGGGAAAACCGTGCGGGCTTAACCCAAAACGGACAATATCACACTATGTTAAAAGTATCTTTGGATCGTTTTAGCCGAACAGTATTTCATACAAAATGGCAACTGGCCGGGGGAAGTGGGGTTTAATTTGATTCTCCTGTACCATTGTAAGCAAGCTTAACGCTAATGCCACCTACAAGCATGTTTAAAATCTTGTAAAAATGTCAAGTTTAAAGGTCCTTATAATCAGAGAAAATTTACATATTATCAGCACTCAGTATATGAGGACACTCATTATATCAAGCTCAAACTCTTTATATAGTCTTTTTTATAAAGTATATATGTATTTAATGTATATATTCGTTAAGGGAGCTTTGATTGATAATGTTATTCTTTTCACCTGGAAAATAAAATGAAAATGTGGTGCACCTTTGCTGCAAGTCAAAAGATTAACTGTATGCTAACAAAACTTGATTTTCCTAGCCTCTTACGTTAAACCTTTCAAGACTTAGTATATACAATGCCACTGCTAATTGCGTTTCAAAGACCACATTGATTCTAATGATGATCACTAAATATTTAGGTATGTCTTGTGACTGAATAACTGAGCCTGTTCTGCTGAGTGACTTTTGCAGTGATCAATGCACAAGCTGGAAAGCTTTCATTTTGAGCAAGGTCTTTGAGAATTTCTTCAGAGAACTTCTCATAACTCAGGACACCACACATCTTTATCTTTTCTTCTTCAGATAAACCATATTTATGTACCTGTTATAAAACCAAGAGTTAATTAAGTTATATGCATTAATGGTGTTACAAAATGATTAAAAGGAAATTGAAGGTAGCTCTATATAATAAGTATTGATTTGTAATTAATTGTAAGTTGCCTACTATAACATGTTAAATTGTAGTTTCAGCGTATATAAGTTCAATCCTAAAATGAAATGTTAGTTCAATTCAGTTTAAGAGTGAAAACATTAGTGAACAATGTCTTACCTTGAGGTACATATCCAGGGCAAGATAAATTGTGTCATATGATTCTCTTGCAATATCAGGCAGTGCTGCTACCAATGCCAAAAACTTGGAAGGTTTAAGACAAGGATCAGGTGCAACTTCCATGATATATAGATCTATTAACTCAGCAACTTTCTTCAGTTGATACATCAATAATTTTTCGCGGCTATTGGAGAGGAATATGTCAAGCAACCTCAGAATTAAATTTACATTATAAGCACTTTTTTCCCCTGCTGGAGAAGGAATAAGCAAATCATCAAGTTTAGCTCTATCTAACTGGGAACCAATCAAATGTTCTAACTTCCCCTTTGAACATTTGCTCATTTTCAAGGTAAAAGATGCCTGTAGAATGTCAAATAGACCTCTCATAGAGATGAAGCTCCCATCAAGAGAAGAAAGGAATTTAATTACTGTCTCAATGATTCTGGATTTCTGAGCTGATGAAACAGTGGGACATTTCACTCTTTTGTAATAAAACAGGAATGAAGCGATCACAGAATGATCCAATTTATTAGATATCATTGTCTCTATAATCTTCTTGAACATATTAAGGTTCAAAAATCCAAGATCTGCAAACCACCAGGTTGCTTGAGAACTGTAAATTCCCTTGCTTTCTGTACTAATATCCCCTGAAAACTGCATAGACGAATTCTCGGAAGAAGATGCACATGGGCTAGAGATGTTATGAAATTCAAGCCTTCCAACAACACAATCCAAGAAATCTTGAAGTATAGATGAAGATGGCAAGAAAGAAAGGAGTTGTTGGCACTTTTCCAAGCTAATAATCAGCTCAGACCATGTCATGTAATGAATCTTCTGAAAATAAGAACTTGTTTGCTCGACCAAATTTGGTTTCCCCTGCATTTCTTTATTCATTTCTAGGTAATTCGCAGCACAATGCAGTTGAAACATGTTAAAAGGAGTAATCTTTATCCTACCACCATTATAGCAAAACTTAGCAATGAGTTCAAAACACTCAGCACCTCCTGGAAATTTGTCGAAAATTAATTTCAGCCTTCTTGTTTTCCCTGTCAACTTACTGAATAATTTTCTTAATCTCCCTGAGAGAGATACAAGAATAGTCTGCAGAAGATTAAAAAGCATTAATATAAGATGGTTAGTCCAGATATTTAAAGGCTGCATTTTAGTCCCTAAGAATCCTTTTTTCTCAAAGGAAATGGCAAAAGTATACTAAGCAAAAACTTGGATATAATAAAATTCAATGACAATGACAAAAATTTGTCAATAGGAAACAGGATATTGTAGTAAACTTATGTTTCTCTAGGTTACCTTGTCCACCAAAAATAATTCTTGGCCATTGACATCTACCTCAAGATGGCAACAATTTTTCATAGTAAAAGGATGGCTCCAACAGCTAAAAGACAGGAAAATGAAAGTTAAGAGAAACCATTAACTAGGCTGTCTTAGCTCTAGAATGATATTCAGAGGGAAATAGCAAAATGCTGAGAGATGGAGGATGAAAGAAATTCCAAACACCGATTTCAAACTGACAAACTCAAGTTTTAAAACCATGTAGTTTATTAAGGTGGTTTCTCGACATTTGTAAACTATGCTATGTCAATGAGAGCATAGAAAATTCTAGGAAATTAGAAGCATCCAAAATAATTTAGGGCTATAATAAAGCTACAGTATTAAGATAATCCTGAAAATTAAGGGCAAAATTGGGAGTTCATTTGCATTTTAGAACTATCTACTTCTATAATGAATGATATCATTTACTATTTGAGAAGATAAAATTATTTTTTTGACTATGATTTTTTTCCAAATTTTAAAAAGTTTTAACATTAAAATTAAGTTATTGATCTATAGCATTTTTTATGAAAAATCTAAAATTAAAAATTAAAATTGAATATCCAAATTCACAACAATAACAACTAAAAAAGTACTAGATGGGCTGACTTTGGCATTCCAGATATTTAAACGAGGAAGTAAGTTATATTCTCAAATACCAAAAAAAGAAGGTTATATTCTCAAGAATTATTGTCATCCTCCACTATTTACAGTCCTTGGTACGTAGCAGTTGATGATGTTTTCTACTTTTTGCCGCTAATTTTGGATAGTGGGATAATCTGACTTTGAGATAATTTCCTTTAATGCAAATTAGATCCCACCATAACAGAACTAGTTTGACTACAGAACTTCATTCACTTGCAGGGAAAGTACTGCAAATTAAATTACAAAAAGAAGTGATTCGTGGTAATCGCCTTTTCTCTGGTCAATTTATTGTTAGTTGATACGTAGCTTGTGAAAATTTTGGTTCTTTTTAAGTTTAATTTAGTAATTCTTCTTTGCTCTTTTACCTCTACATATACTTTGGGTTGATATGAGGTGAAATTTTCGCAGCTTGACCGCACCTACAATTGAGCTTTCCTCGAAGTTTTGACAAAAGCATATCATACACTATCCATATTTTTTTTGCAGATTGCCTAACTATCTATAATAGGTTCATAATCTATGATTTAAGGTATTATATATAGTGTTCCGAAATAACTAACTTATATTTTTATAAGTTTGTGAAGTTACACTAAGAAAAAGCGAGCATCACCTTGTATAGGTTGGGTGGAGCTTAAAGAAGCAAGCCCCTATTAGAGAAAGCCATTGCGCTAGCCTAGCTAGCTAACGTTTTTCAGCTGGCTGTTATATTAGTTGTAACAAGGTTCATTCTTATATATATTTGGTAGGTGTAAAAATTTCTTTTATTAAAATGAATAAAATATAGTGTTCTCAAGGGATAAATGAGAGAAATTTTTTGAAGTAAAAAGTCAAAACAATGATAGTTTGAGTCTTAGGTTCTATTCTCATCAAATTCTTCTAGTCTCTTTCTCTTTACTGTCCGGCCCCGGGGCGGATTTAGAGGGCGGAAGGGTGTTCACCCGAACTTCCTTCGTCCAAAAATTACACTGTATATGTAAGACAAAATTTATTTTTTATCTCTATATATTATGTTTTGAATCCTCTTGACATAGCCCAAAAGCATAGCTCAATGATCAAGGGGGTTCAAAACCTTTGAGAGGTCACTAGTTAAATTCTCACTAGGTACAACCTCTTTTAATTTTATAACCTTTTCCTTGTTTGAACCCCCTTAATGAAAATACTGCCTCCGCCGGTCTTGCCCCAAGCCTAATAGAATTAAAAAAAAAAAAAATCTTCAAATAGTTCCACAGTAAATAATAATGCAAGAACTACCAAGTATCTCATGTGACAATAATAACGGACACCAAAAGGAAAAGGAAAATGAAGAAGAAGCGAGAGAGAAACACGAGGATAAAGGCAAATTTTTATGTGTGGAATGCATGCACACTTTTTTAAAAGCAGAAAAATACAACAAAAGGTAGAAACTTTTGATCAATGATAGATTTTGCAAAAGCTGAATCTACTTGCAATAACATATCGCATTTTCATGTATTAAATTGATAAAGCCGGCAAGTCCATGATGCCAATCAATTAATTAATAATTTAATAAGACTTCTAGTAAAAAATACCTGACTAAACCAAAATTCGCTTACTGTTTTTGAATCATGTCATCAGAGAAAACAAACAAGTCCATTGGTTTTCCTTAATTAACCTTTGAGCTCAATTAGAATATCTATAACGAGTAGAAAAAAGGGAGTAGATAGGGCAGATGAACTAAATTATAGTAGACTACTTATGACCAAAATATTAAGAGTCGATGATTTTTTTTCATATGTCTAAGCTTTGGTGGACAGAATTATCCAATATTTGTGCTAGTAAGAGATAGTCAGAGAAAAGTTAGATACTTTGGAGAAGAGAAAGTTTAGCTTCACGCATTTGACATGCATTTGGATTTTGATAATCTTATCATTAAATGCAATCCACCATATCTTTATTTTATGACCAATTATTTGGCATCCATATTATTAAAAAGGTGGCCTTTCACTATCATCACACCTCAGTTGCAGCCTAAAGTGATCAAATTGACCTAAATATTTGTCTTCTAAATCTGTTATAAACATTCAACAGCACTAGACGAAAGAAAGCCCAACATAGGACCAGAGTTTAAAGTTAAAGAACTATGAAGTTCTTAGCTGATTTTCTGTCGTGTTATAGTGGTTCTGTTAGTGAAAATAGTCACAAAATGAAGGCATGTACTCTTGTTCAAGTGACATGCATAGAGGAAAACACAACCAAGGGCCGCAAATTAGCGCGTAGAAATTCATCGTCAAAGGGACTGTGGCAGCCATCTCTATACACCATTTCTGAAAATACTACTTCCTCTACCAACAAGCCACAAGAAGGGATCAAAGCCACCACGAAGAAGATGAAAAACGTCAGACCAAAAACCAATTCTCAACCTTGTGGTTATTACCATGATCTCAGGTAAACAATTATTTTACTTTATCCTGGAATAATCAAATACTTGATACCAGAGGCGGATCTAGGACAAGTTTTATGAGTTCAACCTAAATTCATTATTTTTGGCTCAAACTACATATACCTTCCGAGTTAAAAATGTATACATGTAATAAGATCAGAGTCATTCAGAAATCATTAACTCTAGAATCCTAAATTTGCCTATACTCGAAACTTGTGTTTGTGAAACATGCGTAACCAGAATGAAATTTTGGTACTTATTTTATTCTGTATCCAACCATTGATTAATACTTGACATGTAATTTTGCCTTGTTGTAGGGTTCAAGCTCCGTTCCAGACAAGTATTGTGGCGCTATCAGCAATGACCTTCGTGTTTTAATCTCCTTTTGCTTGTTACTCTCTTCATGTCTCAGTGAGAAGTTCGTGTACTACTGTGGAACCACATCAGTGTCATGATAATTCAACCAATGATTGAAGTATATTTTTGTCTTTCAGTTTATAATAGAGAAACCAGGAGTGCAATTATTACTATTACTATAATTATTCGAGAAAAAGCCAGAGGAGCAATTAAATAATCAAAGTTCTCGCCTAACGCAACATCCGCCATTGCTGAGTAGACTCAAAAGCCAACAAAATTATGAGTTGATTTGATGTCAATAAAATGCTCCCTGATGCATGCCTAGCGATAGCATCATTAAGATAAGGGATTTGTTCCTAGGCTTCTGCAATTTACCAGGGGTAATGTGAACCCACCATACTATTGTCTGCAATTATGGACTTGTAACATGCACTTAACTTCACATCACACACTATACTACTGAACATCATATGCGGTGTGCATGTCACCCCAAAACCTCGAGGCAAAATTATAAGTAACTAACTTCATATCCGTGTCTTTAAACCAAATTCATCTAAAGGGGCTATGTGAGAATGTGTTGTGATACTGCCAAGACATCTGCAGAAGCTCAATCCATAGAGCGATTCTGTTTGTACACTACACGTCTACACCATCTATCAAATGAAAGATGGCATTAGCCATGAAATGTAAAACACCTCCAAAGCATACATCATTAGTTACTGCCATCAAGGCTTCAATCAGAAATTCATTCTGAGCAAAAAATAATCTATAAAGGGAACAAACATCATCCCGACGATTATTATCAAACTAAGAAGATATAAAAGAAAAAGAAAGAAAAAGGAATGGATTTCCCAAAGGTTGAAGGCGTTAGGTTTAAAGGGAGAAGAATCAGGTTCTAGATTTTCAGCTGCAAGAGCATATATCTTGTTGCTAGCCTGTAGCATGGAGAACAATTGTAATCTCCATCTTGGCATTCCCGCTGCAAACAAATCTCTGTTGCATCCAAATAAGCAATTGCAATAATAAGACATTTCATTTGCTAATGTATAGATAATCTCCTGGTGCTTAGTACCCGTTAATCTGAGGCCTCTGTGGAGGGCCTGTCAACCGAGAAAAAGGGATTTGACCCCGATTAGGAAGACCTTTCTGGCTAGAAAAACGATCTGTTGTTGCTGGATCAGAGACCGATCTTGAGAAGGCTGTAGCAAGCTCGACCGCAGAGGCTGCTTTTCCATATCGTACACCAGCTGCATCGACAGAAGCAGGTTTTGGTGGTTCAACAGGCTTGCGCCAGGTTTCTGGTGAGGGCGGCCTCTCCTGTGCATGTTGCTGCGGCTGGTGGTGGTGGTGCCTTTCAATCTCCTTGGTGTTCCTCCAGTTCTCGTTTCTCCAATTCCTCCTCTGTCCATCTCCTTTCTCG